AAGTTATCTCTTTTTCAGTTTTTTTCTTAAATTGTATCAAATTTCAGTTGTTAATTTTATTGCTGTAAGTTTTTTGATTAATTTTAAACTAAAAATATTATTATCATTTCTCTGAACTAATTCTTCTTTTTTTTTGGTGGCATTATATGGTTATTAATGTTTTATTTTTGATTTATATTTTATTAATTATTAATTGCAAAAAAATTTAATAAATTCTTCACTGAAATTGGAAAAAAACTTTCAAACAGAATTCCAACTACTGATAACTAATAAATTTGAGATAATTGAAATTTGATATAATTTAAGAAAGAAACTGAAGAGATAACTTAACCATTTAACAGTCCTGTGTTTTTGAAAAACCTCGTATTTTTTTAAATTACGGTCGCTATTATTGCAGTTTTTTTATAGACTTTTTATCCACTAGACACAATCTAAATACTAACAATGAATTATCGATTGAACTAACTCTCAAGGAGTTTGACAATTTAATTTGTCTGGCAAATCTCTGAGTCTTTTGATAAAAAGCAATACACTTTAAGTGTGTTTATTGATCTATCAAAAGCATTTGGTACAGTCATGAAGTTTTACTGCAAAAGCTCAAATATTATGGGATAAAAAACAATCTTTTAAAGTGGTATAAAAGTTATTTAACAAATATAAAACAATTTATCCGTGTCAATAATAGATGCCAAAATAAAATGACTAAAATAATTTGCAATGCGCCTAAAGGCTCAATTCTTGAGCCTATTTCTTTTTTAAGTTATGTAAATGATATAAATAAAGTATCAAACTAAAAAAACATGTTAAACAAATTTATTTTTATCAAACTGTAGCATTGCGAAACTGTTTTACAAAATGAATAAAGAACTTAAGTTTATCTCTAACTGGTTTAAATGTACTAAAAAACTAAAAAAACATCAGAGAAACTACCATAAAGTTTTTAGGAATAATTTATGATGAAAATGTTACATAGAAAACTCATATAGACTATATTAGCAATAAAATTGCTAAAAAGAATTGGCATCCTATTTAAGATCAGATGTTATTTAGATAAAAAGAGTTTAGTGCAATTCTACTACTCCTTTATACATAGTTATATTAACTTAATATTGACTATAAACTTATTATTATAACTTAACTCTACTACTCCTTTATACATAGTTATATTAAGCCAATATTTCTTAGGGAAGCACAAGCAAAAGTAAATTGCAATTTCTTTATCGTCATCAGAAACACGCTATGTGTTTAATATATTTTTAAAATTGTTTAACGTATTCAAATTTTTTATTTAAAGATACAAATGTCCTTAATGTATATCAACTCAACATTTAAAAAATTTTGTGTTTTTGTTTGTGTTAAAGTTTCAACGTAAAGATGACTCAGAACTATCTATTTTTAAAGTTTTTTTTTATCAAAAAAATATACAAATATATTTTGCAAAATGGTATTTTTTTTTTAATGAACCACTTTATCGTACAAAGTTTAATTGGTTTTGTATTGGATATGGTGCACCTTATCTCTGGAACAAAATTTTTTAAATAATTTTGATTTATCAACTTCATTTGAGCTTTTAAAATATATACACAAAAAAAAAATATTTTTTTTATTAACAATATAATGAATTACTTCTAATATGCAATTAGAATCGCACTGTATAATACTTTTTTATTTATTTTTGCTGTTGTTGTTGATTTTACCCTTTTAAAAGGTTCTGACGACAAGGTCAATAAGATCTTCTATCAGAAACCTTGTTAGTATTTGTAAAGTTTTTATTTATATATATTGTTTAATACTTTTTTATTTTATTTTTTTGCTTTTGTTGTTGCTTTTACACTTTTAAAAGGTTCTGACGACAAGATCAATGAGATCTTCTATCTTCTATATTTGTAAAGCTTTTATTTATAAAGTTATTTATATTTTTGTATTACGATTTATATAATTGCAAACTGGAACAGGATATAAACAAACAAAAAAATTATATTCAATATATTATCTAAATAAAAAATTTAGTTTAAAACAATTTAAAACTTTATTTTAAAAAATGTTTAAAAATGTGGTGTGAAAAATGTTTTTACTTGTTAAATATTTATGAATTTTAGGGTTTTTTGAAACATTCTTTAATAGTTTTATATATATATATATATATATATATATATATATATATATATATATATATATATATATATATATATATATATATATATATATATATATATATACATATACATATATACATACATATATAAATATATATATATATATATATATATATATATATATATATATATATATATATATATATATATATATATATATGTATATATATATATATATATATATATATATATGTATGTATATATGTATATATATTATATATATATATATATATATATATATATATGTATATATATATGTATATATATATATATATATATATATATATATATATATATATATATATATATATATATATATATATATATATATATATATATATATA